AAGAAAGAAAAAAAAGGAAAAAAAAGAAAACGTGGCGTTTCTCAGTGAGTCTGCCGCTGATTTTTCTGTGCTTTATACACATGGCTCCGAGTTGGGCTGAAATTCCAGCCTCGGTAACAACAAACAGATCTGAGTTCGTAACGTGCACTCGTTATGAGAAACCCTTTTGCCAGCTCTGGCACCAATAAACGCTCCTAGCATTAATGTGATTTAAAATTACCTTCAGTACAAATAAATTTCGAATTTCTGCCGTCTTTCATGTTTACGTTTATGGCAGTCGTTAAGAGGTCAGGTTGTCACTCCCATGTGGAGAGGACATGGAAATCGCCGCACTACACGAGTATTTATTTCCTCGCTTCCTCGAAAGAGTTGGGATCTGCTGGGATGCGGAGCTGTTTACCTACATCTGCGAGGCTGATCGAGATAAAGTCGCCCTTTGATCACTTCGAAGCAGATAAAAAGAGCAGAGCTAGCGCCTGTGCCCTGATGGAAGCTGCCCCCCGAGAGGCAGCTGAGGCTGAGCGCCGGGGCACTTTAGGAATCCCAAATATCTCCGCACGAAATGCTGCGGGTGCCACAGGAGGAAGGTTCCCTCGCACCGTGTTTTCGCTTTTAAATTTCCATGAGTGGACGTTCGCAGCACTTTTCTGTAGTTACGATTTAAGCAGCTCATTAAACCGACACAAAGAGCCCTTGTATTCCTGTAATTTATGACCGCTTTTAAAAGGTTGTAAAATACACTAATTGTACATCAGCGTCCAAAAATAAGCAGGTAAATCTAGCAGGAATTTACGCTAATTCTCTCTAATCCTCCCTTCTCTGCGGCTGGCAGGGGAACACGATGACTACGGAAAGCATCGCCGGCCTCTGCCAGAGCACCAGGGCTCGGGCACCAACCGCATCAGCCCACGGCCGGGGCGAGGCGGGCCGGGCCGGGCAGCTACCTGAGCTTATTGGCGGTGTGAGCATCCACGCACAGCCGTGTCCCGTGGCAGGGCATCGCCGCACGGCCCCTCCAGGAGCCACCGACAGACCGGCAGCGATAAGAGCTCAGCCCCGCCGTGCTGCCGCTATCTCCCTGTCTCCCTTACGCCTTCGATTTTGAAAGGAGCTCAGAACGGACGAAGAAATCCTCAAGCTCTTTGGCTCCTCAGCCGACTTCGCATCCTTCCTGTTCCCGGCGCCTTTATATGCCTGAGCACTCGGGTCCCGCACGTCGCTTTGTCTGCCCGGACACGCGCATTCGCAGCGGCGGAAGATGAATAGAGACGAGCCACCGAACCCCCTGCTCGGTTAAATATTTCTCACCACCCCTCTCAGGTACGAGGCCGGCACATGGCCGGTCCCGACTCTTACCTCGTTCCGCCGCCGAGGCCGGGGCCGGAGCGCTGCCACCGCCCGGAGCGGGGCTTTTCGGGGCGCCGGGCGCTCTGCAAACAAGCGACAAACAACGCCTTAACGGGGGCAGCGGGGCCGGCGCTCGGCCGCCCGCGGGCGGGGTGGGCTGTGCCGGGACGGCCCCGCAACTCTCCGGCGGGGCGAGGAGCGCTGCTAGCTGAGAAATAAAAGCGTGGGACTCTTTTTTTCTCCCCCCCCCCCCCTCCCTCCCGTAGACAGCTATGCCTTCTGTCTCCAAGTGTTTGGAAATATTGTCATTCCAAACTCTTGTTACATGAATGTCTGCTTTATTTTCCTCTGGGAAACCTTTGTTTAGGATCATTTAATCAAGAACAGACATTAAACACAACCAGTGGTGTTCATCTCTGTTGAATAAAACGCGAAACGAGTTCCAGTTTCAATACGGAGAGTATTGTGGTTGGGCTCTCATTCAAACAGGGAGCGGGGCCCGATCCTGGCCCCAGTAGCGCAGGAAGAGCCTGATAATTGACTTCGCCGAAGCAGCATCGGGCCCGAAAGGCTTAAGAGGGGAAAAAAAAAAAAAGAAAAAAAAGAAAAAAAAAAAAAAAAAAAAAAAAAAAAAAAAAAAAAAAAAAAAGAACAACGCGAGAACACTGAAAGCCAACAGACGGGGGGAGAAAACTGGACGGCCTCTCTCCCCCTAAAATAAACAGTATTGCACAATCCAAAGAGACAATAGTCAGATTATTCGGGTGCCACTTACTGAATCACGTTTACGTATGAATTTGTCAGATGTAATAACGTGCCCCTCTATTCATTCTCGCTAATAAAAGCCGTCTAACGCGTCTGAAAATTGTCAGTAAATGTAAATGCTAATAATTAAATAACACAGTTCTCGTAGAAGAACGTCTTCTGAGCCCTGGAAATATTAAGTCTGTCTTGGGAGAACTTTTCCAGCAGATACTTCGCGTTGGTAATTTAGTAGTCCCATAATTACTCTAATAATTTTAAATTTGGTGTTGAACTCCAGCCTACATAAAATCATGCAATAATAGCCTCCTAAGCTGTTTATTGCCGTCTCATAAATTTCAGAGCGCTGACTGCTACAATCTCCTGGCAAACACCGAAGGACTCGGCGAGTTCCGCCGCCATCCGTGCCGCGCTGCCCCCGGCTCTCCAGCCGCCCCTCTCGGAGGCGCCCCGCACCGCGGGCTCAGCCCGCACCTCCCTGCCCCGACCCCTCATCGACAGCCGCGCCACGAGCGGCCATCAGCATAGATCAAGAGAGCCGGGACCGGGCTGCCCCACTCGTGTTAAATATGGAGTGTGTATCTGCATACGGTGCCAGCGACTTTCTGTTATTTATTTTGGAGCTATTAAGTCACACCGCCATATATTACGCTGCCACGGCCCTTTAAACTACGCTTCCTCTTGAAAGAGTTGCTAAGTAGCAATAAAGCACTTTACAAACGTTACGACATTTTTTTTTAAATTTGTTGTTATCCCAAACTCTAATATTCATTGCGCCACTTTAAGTTCCTACATAAATCGTTCAGACTAATGAGTCATAGAGAAATTCGCCCGTGACTTTTCCTTTACAATGCTCGCCGCCTCTCCATCTCTTTTTTGGCCCCGCATTAGGAGCCTGTGATTTATTAGCGCCAGGAAAATGGAACAAAGCAGGTCCTCCTGCACGGTGGCACCCAGCCCTCCGCTGTGTGAATTAGAACATTATCAAATGTGTTCGCCTCGGTAGAGCTTAATCACCAAACGCCGTAATGTGACCACAAGGCAGAGAAAACAAAGATTCAACATTTCTAAATATTAAACTTGTTAAGCAAAGGCTCAGCAGACAAAGCAAGCACAAACAATTAAAGTCATCAAGCTAGAAAGACGCACTCCCTACTTACCAACACAGACCCTACTGCTTGCTTAAGGAGTTTAGAATCTTTCAAGATAAATCAGGTGGGTTTTTTTTAAAGGGAAAAGAAAAAAAAAATTGGAAAAAAAAAAGAAAGAAAGAAAGAAAGAAAGAAAAACAAACTCCAGTAATAAGGAGTTGAGTTTCACTTGTGAGAGATCACTCCTAGTGAGGACTGACGGCCACAGATCCATTCCTGACTATCTGCATTAATTATTTAATGAGTCACGTGACCCTAAAGATTAAAATTTCAATATCTCCCCCAGAACAGACGCAACACCTTTATCTGCGAGCGCAGGGATCCTGTACTCGGTCCCCTATCTCTGCTGCCTTTGACAGCTCCTCAGTTTCCAGGTAGAGCGCTGGGACATGAATAATATGGGCTCGTCCCGCTCCTTGGCGGGACGGAGCAGCCCTGCAGCACCCCCCCAAACACACACACACAGCAGCCAGCCGATCCCAGAGCCTCGGTGCGTGGGGCAGTGTGCAGTAGTGTGGGGGGGATGGGGGGCTGGATGTTGCTGGCGATGGGAGTACTGGGGGGGTGTCGTCCCCCCCCCGAAGTCCCCCGGCTACCTTCCAACGAGGGACAATCTCCCTTCGCACGGTCCCGGGCGGGGCCAGGAAGGCTCCTGGGCGCGGCGGGGGTTGAGGTGGGGGGGGATGGTGGAGCTCCCCCTACCCACGATGGGAGTCCCGGACCTCGGACCAGCGTGGGCCGGGTTAGCCAGAGGGGACGGCCCCGGGAGACCTCCGTGTGGAGCGCCGCTCCCGGGAGGTTGCAGTCCCGGCCCGCGCCCTCTCTTGCCCGAGGGGTTAAGGGGAACTGTGGGGGCAGCGGAGGGACAGAGCTGCCCGGATAGGGTCCCGGTGCGTGGCCCCGGGGGGGAGGGAGGGGGGCCGAGATCTCTCTGTTAAACCTCTGCCTGTGTGAGGGCTCCCCCCATCCCTGCACTGTTATTAACACCGAAAAACGGTCCGTTGGACTACAGCACCCTAAAAAAAAAAATAGTAAAAAAAAAAAAAAAAAAAAAAAAAAAAAAGCACAGGATTGAGTAATCCTCCAACGCAGAATGGCTCTAGTTATTAAATACCACGAGGCGCTTGTCACAGCCGAGTTCCCCCTGTAATAAAACACCAGGTATAGCAGAGATTGCGGGAGAATGGGGAAGGAGACCTTGGCAAACTCCCATTTTTCTTGGTGGGTGGAGGGGAGGTGGGGAGCGGGGTTAACGGCGTGGTGTTCCCTGCGGCCATTAAATTGACTCCGAGGTGATTTTGTCTTTCTTTGAGATATTGACAAACTTCCACTTGCGGCGTTTTGGGCCGCTCTCGCCTTTGTGGCGAGAGCAGATAAATACGTGTGTGAGAGACAGGGGAGAGCGAGGGAGAGGGAGGGAGAGAAAGAGACATTGCGGTCCGAGCTCCGGCTTAGAAAGAATACTGTCTTTAAAGGTCAAGGGTTTGAAGGGTCAGTCTGCTCCTCTAAAAAAAAACAATTAATGGGATAGAAAATTTGTCCTCTCTGTGAACTCCTGGTTGCCCTAGCAAAGGGAGCACAATGCGAGAATTTAAGGCGGACGACGTAATTTTGGAAGTTATTGTAAGCCGGGTGGGATGGAAGCGGGAGCGGAGGGCTCCCGGCCCGGCAGCATCGCGCAGCTCCCAGAGGACCGGGGGGGGGCTCGCAGGGGGGGCCGGGAGAAAAAGGAAGATTTACCTTAAACGACGAAAATCGGCCGTGGGGCATTTTGCAGTCCGCCGCTCTATCTCCACCGACAGAGTGTGCATGTTTTTAGCAGACAGCCGAGATGCGGTGTCTTTACACATGACCACTCTTTTTTTTTTTTTTTTTTTTTTTTCTTTCCAGGAAAATCCTTTGCGTCTTCACAGACTTTTCCAAGAGAATGCCTTTCAGAACCGCTGTTGAATTACAAAGAAGTATTTATTGTAGGAGGTGATTAATGGTTCTCTCTAAAAATGCTATTTGCAGCGTGATTTCATTTCTCTTTTCAGTGGGACAAACCAGGTTTATATGCACAGGCTGCACACCAAAGCAACCCCGCGCTGCCAGTTAATACGTTTCAGCTGGAATTGTGCTCGCTTGTGCTAATTTTGGCTCGAGATACGCGAAGGGATTCGAGCAATAAACAAAACGAGGAGCTGCACGCCCGCAGATAGCGGCTGCCCGCTTCCAGCTGTATCCCTCTCCCTCTAGGAGGAGGCGGCTGCGACGTGGGGCTCAGCACACAGCACTGAGTGGGAGCGCTCCTGGGGCCTGATCGTTGGCCAGGCTCGGAGTCAGCAGTGTTTGCTCAGCGTGTTTACAACTCCGTATCTGCTGTGCTGAGCATACTCCCGCCAGTGAAACGTTACATTTCTTACCGAGGCGCTCCGCGCTCCTCGGGCCGGCAGCAATGCTTGCGGGGTCCCACCGGTTGCACCCCCGGGCCGATGGGCACCGGCCTCTGACGGTGGGATCCCAAATCCCTGTCGGACGGATGTGGTAAGTATCTGAGGCCCGGCCTCCAGCCCTTCTCTGGGAGAGGTACAGCACTGGAGTTCCTTTCCAGACCTGTGCTACCATCTCTCGGGCTGAGAAAGCCTTCGGGGGCAGCGAGGAGCCACCTCCCCTCGCACCCCATTTTGTCCTCGTCGTGAAGAACCTCGGTCAGATAAACATCTGAGCTGTGCCCTGTTTTCGTGTCACTGGTAAGGCTCTCTCAATACAGTTCGAAACTGTCTTTCAAATGAAGAAAGAAGGAAAGAAGGAAAGAAGGAAGGAAAGAAAGGAAGAAAGGAAGAAAGGAAGAAAGGAAGAAAGGAAGAAAGGAAGAAAGGAAGAAAGGAAGAAAGGAAGAAAGGAAGGAAGAAAGGAAGAAAGGAAGGAAGAAAGGAAGGAAGAAAGGAAGGGAGAAAGGAAGAGAAAGGAAGGGAAAGGAAGAGAAGGAGGCAGCTAGAGTAACTTTAGGTTACCGCCCATGTATTTCCCTTCAGAAGTGCTGCCAGTTGAGGAATCACAATAGGAAGAAAACGGACGAATAAATCACGGCCGGCTACAGATTTACAGTGTTATCGTGGCGAGCATGTGGGACTTCTCCTCCAGCACAATCCGCCATGGGAGCTCATTGGCTCCCAGCAGCAGCTCAGTCCCTCTGTAGCGCGGTGCACACGAGCCCAGAGCCCTGCGATGGACCGGGTCGGTTCTGCCCCGAGTTCTACAGAGAACCCGGCTCGCTGTGCGGTACAGACAGCTTTCCCCGTCCCCCAGCGCTCTCCTCGCAGACGGCAGCTGGGACGGGGGACGCTTTGCACTACATTTAAGCAACCATAACCGTATTGACAAAACGAATCCTAAGTTACACCAACACGTTAGGCCATTGTTTTCCACTCCTGGTGCCGAGAGCGGCGGAGCACAAGGTGCACGGAACAGCATGGAGTGGACGCGTGTGTGTTTCAAGCGTTTAATTCTTTTGTACAGAATAATCTTTATTACCAGCATCTGGCACTGTATACATTACACCAAAAATCCACAAATTGTACATGGACCCAAACGATTTAGACGGTGCCAAATATGAAGACAGCCACAGCCTTTATAGCTTTTTTTTTTTTCTTTTTTTTTCTTTTTTTCTTTTTTTTTCTTTTCTTTTTAAATAAATGCAATTGGGAATGTGGAGAACAACTCATATCACAGCTACTGCGGGGCTACACCGAAACCCAGCTAAGTTAGCGCCAGTACACCAACACGGCGGGAGGGGACGCTTCCCATAAGTTTCTAACCCGAGGTGAACGTGTCCGCTCTGTGCCTCGTGGGTCCGTGTTCGCCCCTCACGGCCACGCTCGTCCCACGCCACTCGAGTCACTGCCTCGGGCGGGCGTCCCCCGAGCTCCTGGCTTTGTTTGAACCGTCTTTTATTTTGTAAAGTGTTCTCTATTTAAAATAAAAAAAAAAAAAAAAAAAAAAGAGTCCGTCATAGGTACGGAGAATTCGTCCGTGATAGCATCCAGCACTCTTACAGCGAGGGCAAGAGAGGGTTTCCATAAATAGAAAAAAAATGATGGGCATGGAACAATTATCTATATACAATGTAGGCAATCGTCCGGGTTTTGGTTTCAACGTGTGCCCGTCCCTGGGCACGTCTCGTCCTCCTTCCCTGCTCCTGCTTTGTTTTACACAGTTGCGTGGTCCCAAGGGCCAGCCGCCAGTGCGGGTGGCCGCACAACCCCAATAGATAGGTAAATAGAGATCTATATATTAAAAAACAAAAAACAAAAAACAAAAAACGATAACCCCCTTATAGCGCGGCCGCGTTGGGCGCAGCCCCGTCGAGCGGGCGGGGGTGGCCCTGTGTCTGTGCCTTGGCCTGCTGCTGGCCGAGCGAGGGCTGGTTGGAGGAGCGCATCTTGGTGTTGGGCAGCTTGTGGTCCTTCTTCCACTTCATGCGCCGGTTCTGGAACCAGATCTTGACCTGGCGCTCGGAGAGGCACAGGGTGTGCGCGATCTCGATGCGTCGCCTCCTGGTCAGGTAGCGGTTGAAGTGGAACTCCTTCTCCAGCTCCAGGACCTGCTGTCGGGTGTAGGCGGTGCGGGACCGCTTGGGCTCCCCGCCGCTGTAGTTGGGGTTGACTGAACGTGCACCCACGGCCACGCGGAGAGGAGAGAAGGGAGGGAGCGATGGAACATCGTCATTAGAGGATAACTTGACACCGGGTTCAAATCAAATACATAACGGCAAGAAAAATTGTTTCGCAGCCTATCGGCAGCGGGGACAATCGAGGAGCAATAAAAAATGGTGATGGGCATTTGGGTTAGAAGAAAAGCTTCAAAGACACATGGCCCAGAGCCACTGAAGGGCAATTAAATTTATGGGGGCTATAATTACTGCCCTAACAGTTTGGCGTCTCGTAAATCTTTTGATAAAGGACCCCGGATACAAAAGGTTTCTCACTTTTTTTTTTTTTTTTTTTTTTTTTTTTTTTTTTTTTTT